AGGCTATGGATCTGCTTTGGGGGACTGCCTGACGCCCTGATGAATCAGGCCCCAAAGGCCATGTGATCGCTCTCTGAGATCACATGGCCGCAATAGCAGGCTATGGATCTGCTTTGGGGGGACTGCCTGACGCCCTGATGAATCAGGCCCCACAGGCCATGTGATCGCTCTCTGAGATCACATGGCCGCAATAGCAGGCTATGGATCTGCTTTGGGGGGACTGCCTGACGCCCTGATGAATCAGGCCCCACAGGCCATGTGATCGCTCTCTGAGATCACATGGCCGCAATAGCAGGCTATGGATCTGCTTTGGGGGGACTGCCTGACGCCCTGATGAATCAGGCCCCAAAGGCCATGTGATCGCTCTCTGACATCACATGGCCGCAATAGCAGGCTATGGATCTGCTTTGGGGGGACTGCCCGACGCCCTGATGAATCAGGACCCAAAGGCCATGTGATCGCTCTCTGACATCACATGGCCACAATAGCAGGCTATGGATCTGCTTTGGGGGGACTGCCTGACGCCCTGATGAATCAGGCCCCAAAGGCCATGTGATCGCTCTCTGACATCACATGGCCGCAATAGCGGGCTATGGATCTGCTTTGGGGGGACTGCCTGACGCCCTGCTGAATCAGGCCCCACAGGCCATGTGATCGCTCTCTGAGATCACATGGCCGCAATAGCGGGCTATGGATCTGCTTTGGGGGGACTGCCTGACGCCCTGATGAATCAGGCCCCACAGGCCATGTGATCGCTCTGTGAGATCACATGGTCACAATAGCAGGCTATGGATCTGCTTTGGGGGGACTGCCTGACGCCCTGATGAATCAGGCCCCACAGGCCATGTGATTTCTCTGTGAGATCACAAGGTCGCAATAGCAGGCTATGGATCTGCCTGCATGGGGACTGCCTGGGTTGTCAGACAGTTCCAGATCAAAAAAAAAAAAAAAAGGGAATTGCAAAATTATTATTAATACTCAAAAATATTAAAAATTATATTATTATACCTCCAGGAACATTTGGACACATAATGCTTACTCCAGATATATACATCAACCTGTTCTTAAATACGCCAATTCTTCCATAACATGTATATGTAATATATTGTAATATGGTTCATCTGTAGGCTGTATAATTCTGTATGTTATACTCTTTTTGCCTTCTTTTATTACAGGCCCACCACATCGTCAGTTCAGGCACACCACAACCAACTTCTATAGTTCTCATATAGGGACCTTACGAATTTAAGACTATGTCCTCTTATTGTGGTAGTGTTTCTTCTTTTAAATATGGTCTCCTCCTTTACTGTGTTGATTCCCTTTATATATTTAAATGTTTCAATCATATCCCCCCGTCTTGTCTTTCCTCCAAGCTATACATGTTAAGTTCCTTTAAGCCTCTTATTACTGCTTTTGCCCCAACCACAAATGTATGGCTGGGCCTGTAGTTGTGGGAGGTGTGACAAACTGGACCTTGTCACGGGTTCTTGGAGGAGCATATTTACCAGCCTCTTTTGACTATGGCCCCTGTGTTAAATCCTGGTTAAAACCACTATGTGTGCCTTTTTGTACTTGTTTGGCCACAATTCGAACTTTCGAAGAGGCATTTTGAACTCCCGAACTCCCAAAGCCATTTGAAGTGCCATTCAAACACAAGGTGGCGGCCATCTTGTTCGCATGGGCCAAAACTTCGAATAGACTTCAGGGGGAAGTAGCCGTGCATGCTCTGGAACTATTTTCGGCATGAAAACCTTGTGGTTCCTGTTCGGTCCTCCAGCGGCACTTAGCCGCGATTCTATGGAACTATTTTCGGCTATGGGACCATGCCTGCGGGCGGTAAAAAATATGACTTCCAATTTCTGAATCCCTGAACTGATCTGGGTGATTTTTGGATATGTTGGTCACCCAGATCATGGCTATCAGGGGATGTGGGGATACTATCTGTTTTGGTGTACTTTTGGGACTTTTTAGAAATGTGTGTTTTTTGTGTTTGGATATAATTGAGCTTAGTATTGTACTTGACTCAATTATCTCCTAATTAAAGGGGAAGGCTTATTGTATTGTATGTGTGAGTGTCATACATTGTAAATGTGTTATCATTGGTTTGTAAATTTGTGTCCCTGTCCCCAGCAAGGTCCATGTGGGCGTACACCTTGCTTGGAGATTGTCATAAAAGGCCACGGTGGCACCATTAAAATTCAATTCCTGCTTAACCCTCAACATGTAGTCTTGTCTCGTGCTTGTAGGGAACCTGCTTCACAGCTATATCACTAGCTCTTGTAAGAGCTACACAGTTATACTCTCTGGAGGAGAGGCCTTCCCACTGAATCTCTGGATCAAGGAGTTTGGTCCGGGAAGGGACGGAGAGACCCCAACCAAGCTGCGGCGGTTCGTGGGGTCTACGGTGCTTATGGTGTCCGGTGCGGTGCTTATGGTCCTCAGCGTCAGCTAGGAAGCATCAATTGGCAGAGATACCCAGTCGGGGTGCCAGGCGGTCTGTCATAGGAGGGGCTTGGGTTTCCCTTCTTAATGGATGACAGACCGCCCCCCATTATCATTTGCAGTCTCTCAGAGATAACGTGGACCAATGGGAACTCTTTTGAACATATTTAAGGCTTGTTTTAGCCTCCATTCTTTGCCCTATCGTGGTTTCTGTTTGGATCCTCATATAGTGCTCCTGGTGATTCCCTTGTGATTTCCTGTGTTTGACCTCGGATTCGTATTTGACTCTTGATATCTGGTATCCTGACCCAGATTCATATTTGACTACTGATTTCTGTTATCCTGACCTCAATTTGACTTGTGTTTTCTTTTATCCTGACCCCGGCTTCGTAACTGACTCAGGATTTCTGGTATCCTGACCCTGGCTTCGTATTGACCTTGTGATTTCTGGTATCCTGACCCAGCTTCGTATTGACCTTGTGATTTCTGGTATCCTGACCTCGACTTCGTATTGACCTTGTGATTTCTGGAATCCTGACCTCGACTTCGTATTGACCTTGTGATTTCTGGAATCCTGACCTCGACTTCGTATTGACCTTGTGATTTCTGGTATCCTGACCCCGACTTTGTATTTGACTTGTGTTTTCTGGTATCCTGACCCCAGCTTAGTATTTGACTCGTGATTTCTGGTATCCTGACCCCGGTTTTGTATTTGACTCGTGATTTCTGGTATCCTGACCTCGACTTCGTATTGACCTTGTGATTTCTGGTATCCTGACCTCGACTTCGTATTGACCTTGTGATTTCTGGTATCCTGACCCCGACTTTGTATTTGACTTGTGATTTCTGGTATCCTGACCCCAGCTTAGTATTTGACTCATGATTTCTGGTATCCTGACCCTGGTTTTGTATTTGACTCGTGATTTCTGGTAATCACAAAGCAAAAAATAGATGCAAAAGAAAAATTAATCCATCTTTACCCAGTGATGTCTGAGCGCAGACTAAACTCTTCAAGGATGGGAACGGCTTATAAAGACTCCCCACACCATTCAATTTGACTCAGAGTGCTAAATCCGATTTTAACCTCACTTAATTACTAATACTAAGTAATTTTTACTTAGTTTCCTAAAAGATCAATTTTGGTCTATCAGTTTTTTAGTTAATAGCTCCCTAATCCTTGCGGGGATTGGAGGTTATCTACTAAACAGCTGCAAGATGCAGCCGCGGCAAGAATTGCATCAGAACTTAATTCTCTGAACAAAATTACCGAATTTCATGCGAACACGAATGGACAAACTATAAAAGTGAAAAATCTAAAGTATTATTAACAAACATTGGCACATTCTAATGAAAGACAAAGCCTTAAAAGATTTTATTCCTCATAACCCCTAAATCCTTTTTAGTGGGCGCCCAATCTTAAATGTTCTCTCACCAAAAATGACCAAAGCACGATGTCCAAGATAATACTTTTAAAAAGACCCAAACTTGCAAATATATTTAATTTTAGAAGTGAGAGATGACTCTCCGTGTCTTTGTTTCACAGCCCAGGGATTGTTACCTCCTGAATTGGTTTTATCATGACCTCTTCCACTGGAAGGTGTGTCCATGTATTTACTGCTATAAATGCTTTTCTCCTGTCTTCCGCCACCCTGTGTTTTAATGACGATGTTTAATCCTGAGGTGAGCTAATTTATAAAACCAACATTTGCAACAAATCAGCTGTAATGTTTTAAAACTCTGCTGATATGGAGATAGTTTTCCATTCTCAAGACTTGGTCTAAATTGTGCAGGTCAGATGAAAACCTATTGTAACTATTATACATGTTGGCACTTCATCCCAAGTACGGAATGTAAAACTGTGATACTTTACTAATTTATTGAGTTCTTTAAAGGATTTAAAAATGTATTTTTTTGATTCATTCTTTCTGAGAAGCAGTCTTTATATCCTGTTTCACCGATGTCTTATACTGTGTAATAATTTAGCATCTATTTTATTATTCTTATTTATGTATTTAACTATGTATTTATGTATTCAGCGGGAGTCAGCCTGTTCTACAGTTCTGAGTAATAAGATACATTGTACAATAGATTTATTTTCCATTTATTTTGCAGAAATATGGTTAAATTATTCTGTAAAATAAATATTATCGAGTAAGGGACAAGCAGAGCTTATTTAGTAAAATTTTAATATAATTGTAATTTAATCATATAAGAAAGTAGTACAATGAAGCAGTGTGAACATGTTGGAGTGGAATTAGGAGAAAGGGCTGCATATTTGTTGTAGATTGATTTTATTACGATAAATTCTACTAAATATAAATGTTAATTGTTTTGTTTATTTGAGGATGTAAAAAGATTGGGGTAAGCACCATCTCTGCCGGGACTCGAACCCGGAACCTCTGGATTAGAAGTCCAGCGCGCTCGTCCATTGCGCCACAGAGACCTCACCGCATGCTCAGCATCAGCACCAGCTCTGAAAAAGAACATACCTACTGTATCCTCAGCCTCACTCCTGCATCATCTGAGCATCATCCCCCTCTCCATCACGGGAGGCTGCAAAAGCAGGAGTCAGGAATGCACCCTCAACACTGCACTGGCTGAAGCAAATAGCTACGAGGAGAGGAAAGAGTTAACGGCACACAGAGGAGCATCCTTAGACTGAGAATTTAGTGGGCTTGGAAGGATACGAGTCCAGGAAGATGTAAACGCAGGAGCAGAGTATTGGAGCTGGGAGGATGCTGAAGCTGGAGAATGTGAGGATTATATGGAGTCTGACAGCTTAAGAGAGAGAGATCAGTGATGCACAGGAATCTGACAGGCATTCGGAGAGATGGCATTCAGTACGGCCCCGTAATATGCATACAGGAGGGGCTGAGAGCTGGGCGAAAGGACACAACGAGGCTTGGCAGAGAGATGAAAGGGAGATCACAGAATCAATTGAACAATGAGCTTGGAACGACAAAAGGCAACATCGACAACATCAAACAACAATGAGAAATATACAGAATATCGTTCAATACTGCCAATACAGGAACAGAGAGAGACAGCGAGAGACAGAGAGACAGATAAATATTGCCAATGCAAGAACAGAAAGACAGAGAATACTACTAATACAGGAACAGAGAGAGACAGCAAGAGACAGAGAAATACTGTCCATGCAAGAACAGAAAGTGCGACATAGAGACAGAGAAATACTGCTAATGCAGAAACAGAGAGAGCGACAGAGAGAGAAATTCAGCACTCTAAACGACATGATACAAGGCAACAGAACAACAAACAACACAGAGAAAACAGAAGAACATCAGAGTTCAATACTGTTTATACAGAACAAAGCGAGAGAGAAAGAGAAAGAGAGGAAGAGACAGAGAGGAAGAGATGGATCAAGTCAGAGAAAAATGGAGCTGCACTTTAAATAGCCTGAGTCTGAGATCAACACAGAGGTAGAGACAGAGGGACAGGGAAAGGCAGAGAGACAATGGGCTGAACACAACATGACCCAAGGAACAGGACAACAAACATGGACAGATATAGAATAACATCACAGCTCAATACGGCTAATACAGGAACAGACACAGTGAGAGAGAGACGGTGAGAGAGAGAATGAGAGAGTCAGTGAGAGAGACACAGAGAGATAGTGAGAGAGAAACACAGAGAGGCAGTGCAAGAGAGAGAGACTGAGAGAGGGACACACAGAGAGACAGTGAGAGAGACAGAGATACACGGAGAGACGATGAGAGAGAGACACACGCACAGAGACAGTGAGAGAGAGACAGTGATATAGTGAGAGAGATACAGAAAGGCAGTGAATGAGAGACACACAGAGGGACGGTGAGAGGAAATAACAGAGAGAGAGAGACAGTGAGAGAGAGAAACACAGACAGTGAGAGAGAGAGAGAGAGAGTGACACACAGACAGAGACAGTGAGAGAGAAACAGAGAGAGAGAGAGAAAGAGAGAGAAACACAGAGAGACAGTGCAAGAGAGAGAGACAGTGAGAAAGCGACACACAGAGAGACAGTGAGAGAGACACACAAAGACAGTGAGACAGAGAGAAGCACAGAGAGACAGTGAGAGAGACAGAGATACACGGAGAGACGATGAGAGAGAGACACACACAGAGACAGTGAGAGAGAGACAGTGATATAGTGAGAGAGATACAGAGAGGCAGTGAATGAGAGACACACAGAGGGACGGTGAGAGGAAATAACAGAGAGAGAGAGACAGTGAGAGAGAAACACAGAGACAGTGAGAGAGAGTGACACACACACACACACAGAGACAGTGAGAGAGAAACACAGAGAGACAGAGAGAGTGACATACACACACAGAGACAGTGAGAGAGACACAGACACACAGAGAGACAGTGAGACAGTGAAAGTGACAGAGAGGCAATGAGAGGCAGAAAGAGAGACAGTGAGAGAGAGAGACAATAAGTTTGTCAGACAGAGAATAATAATAACTTTATTAGTAATAAAACTTTAACCAAAATTACAAATATTTCTTGGGACAGATGAACAGATGGCATAGTGCACCAGACTCCATCATCACATGCCAGGACTCCTGTGACATGCCGGTAAAGACAGCTGGGCTGGATTTAATGAGAGAGAAAAAATAACATGACAAGGGTGAAAACCGCTCAAAAGAATGAGAGAGACAATGAAACCTTCTACTTGGACTCCAATTGTCTACCACCATTCTGCAACCACACAATTGGAAATCTTGCTTTCACCCGTCATATCAATAAAGTTTATTCAAAAACCAGAATGAACCTGCGGGTTTAGCTACATATAATATTCTGTATATATCTCTGTATTCTGTATTCCAGCAAAGCAAGAGAGGTCCAGGCACTCAGCAAAGTGAATTTAACAGGACAACGTTTCAGGTCACAATCTCCGACCTTTATCAAGCCACCGATAGTGACCAAAACCTTGCCCTATGTAATGCTTGATTAAAAAGCTGTTAAATTCACTTTGCTGAGTGCCTGGACCTCTCTTGTTTGGCTGGAAACCTGTTACTAGGCCTAGAACAGCACAACTGTACTTTTATTACTTGCATTTAGGAGTTTTATCCCACTTGGAGTGCAGTCCCCTTTATTGACAATTATTGTAGACTGGATTGTAGGTTGTCATGAAAAATAAAATATGCCCAAAGTGAGAAATTACATAATATCATGGATGATAGGTAGCAGTAGATTGTAGATAGCAGTAGATAATAATAGGTAGCAGTAGATAGTAAGTAGTAGATAATAGTAGGTAGCAGTAGAGAGTAGGCAGTAGATAATAATAGGTAGCAGTAGAGAGTAGGCAGTAGATAATAGTAGGTAGCAGTAGAGAGTAAGCAGTAGATAATAATAGGTAGCAGTAGAGAGTAGGCAGTAGATAATAGTAGGTATCAGTAGAGAGTAAGCAGTAGATAATAATAGGTAGCAGTAGAGAGTAGGCAGTAGATAATAGTAGGTAGCAGTAGAGAGTAAGCAGTAGATAATAGTAGGTAGCAGTAGAGAGTAAGCAGTAGATAATAATAGGTAGCAGTAGAGAGTAGGCAGTAGATAATAGTAGGTATCAGTAGAGAGTAAGCAGTAGATAATAATAGGTAGCAGTAGATAATAAGCAATAGTCGATAGTAGATAGTAACAGTGGATAGTAGGTAGAAGTAGATATTAGGAAGCAGAAGGTAGTAGGTATTACCGTAGTACATAGTATGGTAGTAATAGAGAGTAGGTAACAGTAGATAGAAGAGGTATAGCAGTAGATAATAGTATGTGGCAGTATGAAGTAGGTGTAGGTAGGATGTAGGAAGTAGGTAGCATTAGATAGTAGGTAGTAGATAGTATTAGGTAGCAGTAGATGGTAAATGTAATGTATCTTCCTCACAGACTATAGACCCCATCACAGAATACTTTGAAAGTACCCAAAGGACTATTGTCAAGGTCACAGGAAGGAGTAGTATTGTGGTTCTTTGTGTGGGGAGGAAGTATAAGGGGGCCTGGGTGCTTATTTTACAACCCAGTTTGAACTGGTTGTACTATATGGATTACCAGGACCTAAACACCACACAGAGTTCCTTTCCTATCTTACCTTATTAACTCTTACTAGCTGTGAGAGGAAAAGGTGCAATGGTTGTTGAGGGGGAGATATATCAGGCCTGCTTTACTAAACAGCATCCTGGGGTTTCTCAATTAAATGCCCCAGTGAGAGATTTTAGGTTCGCAAGATACATTGTTGGTACTCTGCAAACCACGGTAAGGGTCCCTGGGGCAGAGCATTTGTAGAGCAGGGTGGGCCAGTGCTCCAATAGCACTAGTTGCTATCTAACAGCCAGACCAGATCTTGTATATACCTTAGGAGTTCCAGAGATATTAACTAATTGATCCTCACCTGTAGCTGGTCAATTAGCAGGCAGGCTTTTAAATTAGTAAGTGGGAAAACCACCCAATTCCAGTTAGTGATTACTGTGTTTAGTAAGCGCTCAAACAAGAGCAAGGAGTTTTGTTTAGTTTATTTTGATTTGGAGCACCTGTAGATTTTGCACCAAATAAATCAGAAAAACTGAGCTGGACGTGTCCTGGACTTTGATTACCCTAGAAGGCTGTGGTTACCGTAAGATCTGTGACAATATCCTACCGGTAAAAGAGGTGGTTTGTTACATATACACAACAAGGTAAAAAGTAACCAGCGCTTATGTGTCCAATTAACAGTATACCATATGGTGAATAAATTTGATATAGCTGCTAAAACATCCAAATGACTCCTTACAATGTCACAGATATAAAATGATACAAATATAAGAATGTAGCGCTTATATAAAAAGATAATAGATCACCTTGTAATCTTTAATGGTTTGTTACATATGGTGGAGCATGCGGGCAGCCACGTAAGCCTGAGGGTAGAAGTCATTTAAAGCTCAACATGGAGGATGTTATGAAGGATCTGATCCAATCCACCTCTGTGCAACAGGAGGCTAACAGGAGAGCTGCAGAAAACAGTGCAGCCCTGCAGCAACTGGTTCTGTGCTAAAATCATGCCCAAAACACAGATGGAGTGCACTGAGTCTTTGGTGAAACAGCTTGCCGTGACACAAGCTGAGATGTTTAAAGTAGCCCGCGAGGAGCAGCAAAAAGCCATACAGGGACTACAACAGGAAATCCAAGCTATCTCTGAAAAGATGAATGGAGACCCTGATGGAAGATACCAGGGGCCAAAGGTAATTCGGGTGAGCCACCACCTTCAGAAAATGACCGCATCAGATGATGTTGAGGTGTACCTTTTGGCATTTGAACGCACTGCTGAGAGGGAGGGATGGCCGGCTGATGAGTGGGCAAGCATACTGGCACTGTTCCTAAGTGGAGAGCTGCAGAAGGCATACTATGACCTATAACCAGCAGATGCAAGTAACTACAGCAAATTGAAAGCTGAAATCTTGGCACGACTGGGTGTAACCTCTGCAGTACATGCCCAAAGGTTTCACTCATGGTCATATTCTTCTGACAAAGCCGCACGTTCCAAATGTGTTCATACACCTCGCACGGAAATGGCTGCAACCTGAAATCCACTCAGCTAGCCACATTGTGGAAACCTTAGTAATGGTTTTGGCATGGTTTACCAGCTGCCCTGCGTTGCTGGGTCAGCCAAAGTGATCCCCATACAGCAGACCAGCTGATTGCCTTGGTGGAAAGATATGTGGCAGCAGGAGAACTGCTACATCCACTTTCACAGGAAAACTCCTGCAATCCTAAGCTCCAAGATTCTACAAGACCTGGTAAGACTGTTCAAGGGGAACTGAAGAGCTGCAGCTCTATACACAAAACACCAGGGACAATATATCAGGAACCAGCGGGGCACTGAGGTCTAACAGGCCTGGGAGAGGAACTAATTGGTGGTCAGATTATACTGTGAAATGTTTCAAGTGCAAAGAGGATGGTCATATGGACAAGGACTGTCCATTGAATGAGGAACCTATGGAATGCAATATGGGCAAAGATGAGGGAGCACATTCATTTTTGTTCAACTGTTATGGTGCTGTTAACAATGACTATGATAATAACCCTCATAAATGCTGTGTAACTGTGAATGAAAAAATGTCTAAAGCATTACTTGATTCAGGTAGCATGGTTACGTCGGTAGCAGAGTCTATAATACCTTGTGTAAAACCTGATCATGTTTAGAAAATAGGCATTATCTGTGTTCATGGTGATAAAAAGGAATACCCCACTGCGGAAGTAAATATTGGAACCCAGTATGGGGATTTAAAGTACTGAGTGGGTGTAGTACCTAGGTTAGCCCATGAGGTAGTGATCGGTAGAGACTTTCCTCATTTTCTAGAATTATGGGCAGCTATACAAAAGACAGACCAAAATTTATCAGAAATTGGTCAATCTGCCGAGGATAATGTGTTCCCGTTTACCGATATTGACTTGGGTTTTGACCACTGTGATAGACAAATAAGGAAAAGTAAAAGATACTGCCCTAAACCAGTATTAATAGGAGATAACCCAGCTCAAATTAGTGAGGAGCCTACTAATACTGCAGACAAGGATAAGGACTTAATTGATATTGGTATCAGTCTGGGTAATTTTAAAAGCGCTCAGTGGGAAGATCCCACTTTAGTGACAGCTAGAAATAATATTAAAGTTGTAAACAGGGTTGCTAATCAGCCAGGAGAAGCACTGCCGTTCCCCTATTTTGAAGTACAAAATGACCTAATTTACAGCGTAGAAAAGAAGGATTCAGATATCATTAAGCAGCTGTTGGTTCCCCAGACTTACCAAAACACAGTACTAAAGTTGTATCATATAAATCTGTTAAAGCCTTGGAAGGACAGGGAGGCCCTGGTTGCTTTAGAATATCCTATTGTAGAGCCATATCTGAGACTCTGTCTGTACATCAGAAGCAAGAGGTCAGAGATTTCATCAGAAGAAATAGGGATGTTTTCTCGGTAGTTCCAGGAAAGACTAAGGCGATTAAACATGACATAATAACCAAACCATGGAAAAGGGTTCATCTCAAACCTTATAGAATCCCTGAGACCTGGAGGGAGGCTATAAACTTAGAAGTTGAAAAAAATTTAAAACTAAAGAGTGCCAGATTGACTGGAGCAGTCCTATTGTATTGGTGCCAAAACCTGATGGCACCTGGAGGTTCTGTAATGATTACCGCAAACTAAATGCCATATCAAAATTTGATGCTTATCCAATGCCAAGAATTGATGAGTTGCTAGAAAGACTGGGTAAAGCTCGTTATCTAACAACCTTAGATCTAACAAAGGGTTACTGGCAAGTCCCTCTCACTAAAAGAGCCAAAGAAAAGGCCGCCTTTTCAACACCCAATGGCTTGTTTCAGTATACCGTATTGCCATTTGGGTTACATGGGGCACCTGCCACATTCCAACGAATGATGGACAGAATTCTTAAACCTCATGTTCGTTATGCTGCAGCTTATTTGGATGATGTAGTTATTCACAGTGCAGATTGGGAATCCCACCTCCCCAAAGTTCAAGCGGTGCTTGACGCTATCCGCTCGGCAGGCTTAACTGCCAATCCTTCCAAGTGTACGATTGACTTGGAGGAAGCGAAGTACTTGGGATATTCAATTGGGAGGGGATTGGTTAAACCACAGACTGCCAAAGTGGAAGCCATACAAAAATGGCCACAGCCACTTACAAAAAAGCAAGTGAAGGAATTTTTAGGCTTGACTGTTACTATAGGAGATTCATTCCAAATTTTGCTACCAT